CCCCGCCGCGCACCGCCGCATCACAGAGTTCTTCAACCACAAGATGAAACCGCAGAACGGAATCAAACGAGAGCCCCCAAATGCCGATGACAAGAAAAAGTGCCTACCGAAAAATGGTGTCACCCACGACTTAGAAAAATACATCTCCTACCTATCTCAAACGCTTAGCCCTAAAGTATTATTAGATGTCGGAAAGCAAAACGACGTAATAAAGCCGGGCTACCAACCCGCCAACGGTGGTGCCGATACCACCAGCAGTACAGATGCTAGAACAGGCGGCCATGTCAAGGGCGTCCTCGAGTTTTGCATACCCAAAGACAATAAGGATCTAGTTCATACAACGATGAACGGTTTTGTAGATATTCGACACGGAAACGACGCCAGCAAAAGGCATATAAGTGCATCAGGACATGTTAATGGGACCATCAATGGCAAAAAACCTTGTTTTGAAATGAATGTACCGTTAGACCCATCCGCCAATGGAATTGTCACTACCAGCAACCAAACGTCTTGTGGTGCAAAACGCAAAATTCCGATACCGGCCAATAATGATCTATTAGGTATGAGGATAGCACCGACATGTGCCCGTCAATCTCCAAAAAAATTGGTTGTTCCAAAAACCGATAACGCACGAATGAATGGAGTCGTAAGCTCAACTACGAAATTAGATACTAGAATGAACGGGGTTACGCTGGGGTCGAATAATTTGAGTTTGAATGTACCGACTAAACCGACGCCGACAAAAAAAGAAACTACAAAAAAGACAACAACATCGCAGAAAAGAACCAATCGGAAGTCTTCCGCGTGTATCGCAAATAGTAAAAACTTAACATGGTCCAAAGCAAATAATCTGAAACAGGTACAACTTCAAAAACAAAATTGCCCTAATTCAATCCAAAGCTCTGCAGCAAAAAGCATTCCTAGTGAAGCAAACCCTACACCAAAGATTAATATTCCAAACGGTGTCCGACAAGTTACAATGGCAGTAAACAACGGCTTAAACAATCTGAACGTTCCCAACTTTCAAAATTGTCATCCAATAAATCTACAACACCCGCATCCTTGCAATGGTACTGTGACGCCTACAAACCTGCCATCGTTCCTGGCAGTTCCACATAATGTCATGCTCACTTCGTTACGGATACCTCCGAATGGTTTACCGGCACAAACATTGAACCATCAGAATGGAATGAATTCCTTCAATAGACCGAACGTTAATGTATCATCGAGCCCAACGAAACTTAACGGACAATTTCTTTTTCCTTTCATGCAAAACATAAATGGCACCGTCTTACAAATACCTAACCTAATGGCTAAAATGCCAAATTTTGTTATTCCTCAATCTACACAATTAACGACACATAGACAAGACCATATGCCCAACCAACAAATTCTTTTCAATGGAACGATTGTGAAACTCGGCAATACTATGCCCGCGGCATATCCTGGTGTGAACAAATCATCCCCTGTCACCAGCCAGTCGATGCCAATTATGAATAAAAATGTGACAGGTGTGCCAACTGTCGGTATGACAGTCCAACCGAAAGTCAATTATACGGTTAATTTAAGTCATCCTGTATTAGTCCCACAACCCGGTTTTATTGTTACTTCTGTGCCAAATATTAATGTAAAGGAAACGTGGAGTAGTTCAAGTACGCATCCGGCGACGTCCACTCAAGCCACATGCTCTAACCCCATAGTACATCATCCGCCACCGATGGTTGCCAACTTTACAACACAAACGCTGCATTCGAGTAGTATACCCATTGCGCCAGTGAAACCTCCCGACAATCCGATTCAAGGCACGGACCCACCTAGCAGTACAGTTAAGGAAACCGAATTTATAAATGTTAAAGAACAAAAATGTGATATTCCCTGGCTATCCAAAACTGTTAACAACAATTTTGTTTCCTTGAATGCAAACAAAATAACTTCAAGACCATTTGCACAAGTCAGTAGTTTATCTGAGAAGTTAGAAGAATTAGCTCAAAAGGAGATGGCGGGCAAAAGGTTAGAAAATAAGAATATTGAAACCAGGCCTCCTGACTTAAGAGAATTGTTAAGTTTAAAGGAACAGAAAAAAATTGATGAAGTAGCGAAAAGGGAAGACACTATTTTCACACAAATCACGGTTTTAAAAGATGTCACGTCGAATGTGGAAAGTGCGGTGATCGAAGCGAACTTTTGTTCGGCGACGACGGAATCGTCAGAGTCGGGGATAGGTACAGACAAATCTATAGACTCGCCCAGTGACTCCCAAACGAGTAAAGAATGCGACGAAGATTCTTCTTTGTCGTTAAGCGTCAGTGTTTGTTCTTTGGACGCGCAGAGTAGTCAAAAGAGTCCTATTCTAAAACAACCCAAAACACTCCGGTTCCCGCCAAAGAACAGCAGCAGCAAGCCTCATAATGAAAAACGAACGTCGAGCACCGATACCACGTCTTCAGTCACCATCTGTCTGTGGACAAATTGCAAAAGAGAGTTCGAAAGTGATACAGATCTCCTAGAACACATACAGGTTGGTTATTTCATATTAACATGTGTATTTTTAAAATGCAAGATATAACAGTATATTAGGTTGTAACAGGGTAAGCCAAATAAAACAATTTGTAGCATAATTTTTATTCATATATAGACTAAAGTAGATCATTACTATAATTCCAAAATCCATTTAATCATTTAAAACAAAAAGCATACAGTATCATAAATCTTCAATTTTATAGGCATTTTAATTTCATTCTCAAATACATCTATACAATTTGGTTATGGGTTTTATTGTTGCTTTGCAGCGGATGCACGTGGAGTCGCAGGCGGGGCAGGAGAACTATGTGTGCGAGTGGGAGCGATGCAAGGTGCGCGGCAAGCCGTCCTGCTCGCGCCTGTGGCTGGAGCGGCACGCGCTCTCTCACGGCGGCAACAAGCCCTTCAAGTGCATCGTCGACGGCTGCGACCGCCGCTTCTCCACTCAGGTACAATTACGTTCCTTGTCGCAACTCGCCACTCACCAATCATTGCAGGAATCCACCACGAGGCGCATCGCCAAAACGAATCCACAATAACGCTATCTATTGTAGTTTAGACTGAGTTATTGTCTATATCGTTCTGTCGGTCTGTTGGGTTGGTTTTTGTTACTCGTTCAGTTCGAGGCCCGTTTTCACTTATTTGATCTATGGCATAAATTCATTTCAAAATCATTTTCTGATTTTCACATGAACTTTAGGATTAATTGGCACGATTTTTCAGTCATCCTGAGTTTCATTATATTCGGTACAACATTTTGAAAGTATTCATTCATATTAAGTTTCACAGTTGTATATTTTGAATTATTGGAAACGGACCTGTTAGTTGAAATAGTATCATTGTTTTAATATTTAATGTTTTGGTTAACGTTCTCTTCAAATCACGTCTGAGCAAGTGATTGCATCACACGTGTTGTTGAATAGGAATCGTTCGTCAAATGAATTGTGTTTATAATATGTCGTCTGATTGTAAAAAATTCTTGTTCATTGACTTCTGGCATTAATATTGTACTGTGGAATCAGTTACTTCGTCATGTACCACACTTTCATCCACTGGTGTGATAATTGTTATTCTTCTTATCTCTAAGAGCATAACAGAGAAGTAGCTACTCAAGATAAGTTGTCTGTTGTGGTGCCCACATCGTAGATTTGTTTTTTAGAGTTAAATCCTTTCCCATAATATAACGGATAAACTTGTGCTATTTTTCTTTCCCTAAGGATGAAGAAGAAGTGCTGACTTTGACCACTTCCACTATACCATCTACGGTTTTATTTTGTTTTGCATCATCCAGCAAATTTATTGAAACTTTATAATTGAATACCGATTAAATGATTTAATAATTATGTCCAAATTTAAAATTTCTAACTGAAAATGTCTCGATAAGCTTGTTGTGTGATCTTATTTTCTATTTCTTTTGGATCCACTTCGAGGAGAGATGCCGTTTGAGTAACCTTCAGGATTAACAAATCAAGTATTGTTTTAGGATTAAATGATAACTGTAGTTATGTGCTGTTAATTACTTGTAGCAAATACTAACATTCTATTATCTTATGTCTGTTGTATTCAAATTATAAATTTATTGATATTAATTTGGTCTGTTATTATGAAGCAAAAATAAAACTAAAATTATATTCTATTTTCCATTTAAGATGTATACAAAATGATGCTTTTTACTTAAAAGCATCATTTTCTGTTTTGATTAAAAGAAATATTACAAAGTTCCTTTATTCACATATTTGATATTATTTACTTTACACATTTTTTTACAAAATAACGCTACTAAATGCTTTGGTTAATATAAAATGATGACTTTTACTGTAAATTAATAGTGTAATTGCACATTCCAGATATTATTGGAGCGGCATGTGAATAACCACTTCAACGAGGTGTCGCCGAACACCAGCGGCAGTAAGAAGACCACAGAAACCTCAGCCAAGCTCATACGACGGAATGGAAAGAAACTGCGATATAGGCGACAGCCGTGGTCTGGTGAGTCACCCTTCCTTTATAAAAATCAACGACAGACATCATACGGAGGAGACGCATAAGACGGGGAAATGTCCTCTTTATGTGCATCTCCTACTTCGCCGATTAAGGGTAGCGGCCGCTTCGCCATTTTGGCGGATTCAGGTAGTCGTTTGCTTGTTTGTTACTTTGTATTATAGAAAAAAACACCAGAGAAACAGATTACCGAGTGATGATTGATGGATCACCATGAAAAATCTTATATGGTTTTGGTTCACAAAATAGAATACTAACTAGAACTTTTGTTCAATTTTTAACAAATATATAAATGAACCAACAAAATATACTTGTATTGTATGTCAAGGCTTTAGAAGGATTAAAGAGTCTGCTCACTTTTTTAGCAAAGTGACAATGCATGTAGATGTCCGATAAGTTAACATTATGCAGGTATTACATCGGATTACGGAAGGTGAGAACACGATACTTTTTTAAGTGTTCGGATTGTCGCTCCTGGATACTTTCACAGTTGCATTTATAGGCATTATGAAAATACTTACTTGCATAGATATATTATTAATTATGTCGTCTAATCCACCATGATATTTATCTTTTAAATTCACACTTATTAAATAACATATAGCTTTCGCCGGCGACTTCATCCGCGTGGAATTAAAAAAAAACTAAGTAGTCTATGCTGTCTTCCAGACTAACCTCTACAATCTATGCCAAATTTCATCGAGATTAATTCAGCAGTTTAGGCTACAAACTAACAAACATCCATCCAAATTTTTGCAATTATATGTTAAAATCTATCTGTTTTTTTTTGTGATGTTGTATTAATAATTAGTCGTAACATCCACAGCGCGTATGTTCGACTTCTTCGACGCAAGCACGATGGAGGGTCTCGCGTGGCGGTTGTCTCGCAGCACGCGGTGGCGGCTGGGCGGCGCCTGTCCGCTGCGAGAGCCCGCCGGCGCGCACACTCTCACGCTGCACGCGGTCCTCACAGCCACGCGGTACAACACAACAGAGTGCAGACGAGAAGCTCTGCTCACCTACTATCCTCCTCATGTGTAAGTACATAAACACATCAATCAAAGAGGGGGGGGGGTCCTCAGCACTAATCTGCTTACTTCTTTGGAAGAAAAGAGGTTCTCTTCTTTAAATTTATAAAGTAACACAGCTAGCACACAGTTCGCTGGATGATATGTGAGTCATTATCAAAAGAACATATTGAAAGCAGTATCCTGAATGAACAAAGCACCTACTTACAGACTTACCAAATGTAAATAACTGATCTTTGGCAAATAAAACCAATTATGATTTTTTTTAGTAAATCCTTTTATAAAGTTGAAGCAACCATTCACTATCGAGATAACTATGTTAGGCTTTTTTTTAATTAAAAATACTAAAACGTAATTGTGTTAACAATTCAATTAGTAAATTGTATACCTGGCACAAACGCGATGTTACGGATAGAAAAAAATCTTTCGTTTTAACTAACTCAAATACATGATAAGTATGTAAAATGAATAGGCATATTTTTTGGATATCAGACACTTCAATTTAATGTGTTTATAGATTTAGGGCCTGTCCTACCACTGGCTGATAGAGGCTCAGCTTAAACAGACGTCACTGTCAGATAAGGGAACAAAATGCGATATTTCCATCACATATTGCGCACGTTGGATTGTTTCAGTTCAATCAGACAATTTACAATTTGGTGAGACAGGCCCTTAGTATTCGAAAACTACTATAAGGGATTAATCACGACTGTTAGTGGCTTAAAAACTAAAGTTTGAAAACTTATTAATTTCTTGATATTGTAACTTAATATGTTTTCAGGTAAGCTTTTGGAGTAATAGTACATAGGGACTGTAATACAGAGGCATCAATGTTAGGACGTTTTGTGATCAAGTAATGGACATTATGATACTTAAACTGAATATAGATAACTATTTATATTGATTTTAAGCGTTTAAAGTTTATCTGCAGCCCAGTTATTGTTTATATAGTCAGGTAAACAAAAGGTGGGTCAAGGTAGATTTGATGTCCATTTTAAAAATAAATAATTTAATCTGCAGTATCATATTTTCATTATAATAATTATATTTGCATCAAAATGTATTCAAACAGCTATATTTCAAACATATTTTTTATCATTATCGTCACTAATTTTATTTTATGTGTATTTTTAAAGACTAGCTCCGTTTTTTTAAATGGTCTGCATATTTTACATTCTTCAGTGAAAAATTTAAGTTTCATTAATATAATGGTATTTTCTATTTTCTTAAATAAGTATTATATTTGAATTTAATGATATTGCATATTAATGTCAATATTTAACGTAAATTATTTAAAATGTATTTAATTCTAACTAAACATTTTCATATAGCTAGTTCAAAGAAGCTTCGCAATGACATCTATTTTATCATTTGAATATTTCTGAGGATCCATGCATGATAAAGGTGTATTTAAAAAAATACTTCTTGACTAAAATAATCTTATTTTACGGTAATACCAAAACTTCATTTATTTATCTAAACACTTATCTGCAAACATTTATAATTTCGTTTTTACCAACACAAAATTTTTGTTTATAATAGAAACATTTGATATTGTGTTAAATATTAAAGAATTTAATTGTTTTCTTGCGTATTTTGTATTGGCTTATTCAATAAAAATTTCATCATTGTGACTCTTTGACCTTGACATGTACAATTTTAATTGAGACATTGGTAAATGCAGTAGTTGTCGATTAAATGTCCATCTTGCTTGCTATATTGCATTGATCCTCATTCATTGCTTTGCATTAGAGGATCATGTGCATACTTTAAAAAACAATTTAAATAACAAAAAATGATGTAAGCATGCTAGTGATCCTCTTAAGTAAATAGGGTTACCATTAGCTTAGCATGCTTAGTGTTGTCACATTATGTGCCACACAGATAATGCTAAAAGTTGCTAGCAACATCGCGTTGGAATATAAAAAAAGAATTTACCATTGTCTTGATTATTTTATAAATTGTCACGTTTTAAGAATCTGTTGATCAATAATTGCTAGCAATTATTGGGGTTGCCAGTCCATTCCAATTTTGCCTAAAGATAGCTACATGTTGCATTTATTAGCTATTTTTAATACTTCATTTAGTAACAGTGTTGCTTATATTCTTTTAATGCGTCACTTTTGACTTGTCGCTTGCTGTAGCGATACGACAAGTCGTTCTTTTCTGTGAAATGTCAAATTCTATAGTTAATTGTTTTAATATTAAGTATTCTATAGCTCCTTACTGTATAGATACGTTTCTTAGATGTGAGTGGCTCGTCGTACCGCTGTTATCATTAATAATCATGCATATGCACTGTGGGATTGCAACCCAATAAAACTGCAAACACAATTTATCTTACATACCAGTAAATGGTAAAAAATACAATAAAACTTATTATGTGGTGTTTGCAGATACTCTGTGTGGCACACACATGGACATTTTCTAATAAATTGAATAAATTTCCAGTATCGAGGACGAGTGGGTGCCGGAGAAGGATGTGAAGCGTGTGAAGCGCGTGGAGATCGCGTCGCTGCCGGCGCACACCAAGGTGCTGCTG